GCGCTGATGAATCTAATGTTCTGAAGAGTATGTGTGGCAGTCAGTCACCGCACCAGTGTGGATATTTACTGTACTTCGCAATCACAGATTCTAGCCTACGTCTTGGAATATATGACCCAAATAAGATTTTTCACCGTATATTGTCATCTGAACAAGTAGGCTAAGTAAATCCACGTTTGTTCTGACCAGCTGAGGAAAAAAGCATTACAATAAATCGCGCAACCAATGGTGATTTAATTTAAATGAGCTCATATTACATCAAACCTTGCAAATTATTATTATTGTTATACTTTATTCTCAATTGTTAATGTTAACAACATCAGCATTACGTGAATATAGTGTGTATAAGCGAGTGGATTTCAGTTTCTGTACAGTCTAATCTCTAATTGTCATACCATTCGAATTTCATATTAAGAAATTATTTTAACTCAAAAAGCAAATTATGCTCCCTTCGAACTGGTTGTCTTTAAAATACAAATCTTGTGTAATCCCAGGCTATCTGTAATCAGAAGCACATTTAAAACTGGAATATAATATATTAAGAAATTCTTTTAACCCAAAAAGCAAATTATGCTCCCTTCGAACTGGTTTTCTTTAAAATACAAATCTTTGTAATCCCAGGCTATCTGTAATCAGAAGCACATTTAAAACTGGAATATAATTTAATTGCATTCACATGTGTTTCATAAACACATAATACTTTCTGGATTACAATCCGCCATCAAAATGATAAATGTAATTATTCTAGCTGCTGTGAGAAAAGGCTATAAACCATCTGCCACCTGCAGGATCCTCACATGCGATAGCCTACTAGCCGGCCCGGAACAACTTCTTTATGTTTACAGACGTGACGTAATGATGCAGCAGCATGCTCGAATTTCCCGCGAAAACCTACCCCTACCACTCAAATTAGAAAACATTATTATAAGCTAACCGCTGTGAAACTGACTAAAGTAAGGCGATAGTTTTGAACACTGGCTAGTTATGCACTTGCTCAAATATTGATTTCAGATAATTTTAACCAAAAAAAAAAAAGTTACGGACTGCAGCTTTAAGAAAGGGGCCATGAAATAAGCGGAACAAAGTTGATCAGTCACTATCACAAAATAAACCCCTTCAGGATAATACAGGCACCCTCTGTGTAATTTGTACAGGCTTAAAGTGACACTGTGGCGACTTATTTAATAATTGTCTTAAGTTTACTTCTTGTAATGAGGGGTGGTGTATTAAAAAAATTATCCTCGTTTATTCGCTAGAGGGCGTTAAATCCACACAGTTGTCTCGATCTCCGTGATATTTTCATACAGTAAATAACTATGATCTCCCAGAGTTTGTGTGTGTGTGTGTGTGTGTGTGTGTGTGTGAGAGAGAGAGAGAGAGAGAGAGAGAGAGAGAGCGAGTGAGTGAGTGTGCTGTGAAGTCTGCCTGGGGGCAATAAGGGTTTTCACTCTCATTTTCTTATTCTTTTGATCTTTTGTTAATTGTTTACGTGACCTGATTCAGCTACCATTAATTCTGATGCTGTTAGATTTAATTGGAGTGTGTTGAGTGTGTGTGCACATAAACAAGACGGTGAGGGTGAGAGATGAAAAGAGAGAAAACCAACATGAGATTTCAACAGCCAAATCAGCAAATGAATCCCAAGAGAGAGTCACATTCAGCAGCTGTCTTATTCTTTTAAAAAAAGATATACACAAAGAAGGAGGGAGGGAGAGATGGATAGAAAGAAAGAGAGAGCGAGAGAGGGGTGGGCACAATTGGGACAGTTCCCTCCTTCTCAGCAGGGGAGTGTTTGAAAGAAAGGAGTAAATGATAAGAGACGACTGAAGGAGAGAGAGAGAGAGTTCAAAAAGAGTTAAAAGATGCAGAGAGATGAAAAGGGCAAGACAATAACAGAGTGAACAAAACAGAGAACGGAGCAGAAGAAGAGAAATTCAGCTGGCAATATTATAAACACAGAAGCCAGACCAAGAGAGGATTTTGCTGCAACACTGACCTGAGCAGGATTATATTACACTGCACTGCAAACACACACACTCACACACACACACACACACACTTACGCTGAGGTGTGTGATGCTGACATCAGGTAGAAACCATTTGTGTGTGTGATATTTCTGAACAGAGCACACACAGAGAGAGAGTGTGTGTGTGTTTACTCCGTTCTAGAGTCGCATGAGTGTGTGTGTGTGTGTGTGTGTGTGTCAGACAGCCATGAAGAGGATGCTGGCTCTCTTCTGCTTAATTTCACTGGCAGCGCTTCTAACGGATGCATGGAGACCATCACAACCACGACTGCACTTCCAACACTCAGGTGAGGCAACTGACTTTCTATTGACTTTTCTGTTGAGATATTGGCATTTTCAATTTTCTGACCCTTATACAAACCTTTCTGCATTTAATGTTTTAATTCAGACATTACTTTAGTATGTTTATTATGACATTTTCCTCCCACAATGTAAATTATTTCAGGTTGTATTATTTTTATCATTATTATTATTATTAATACAGTTAATACAATTTAAATAATATTAATAATTGTCATTATAAAATAATAATAATTCCTATTATTATAAAGTAATACTATATAATTTTAAATAATTAAGAAGGTCATTCAAAAGATGCACTATGCAGTACCGTGTTACCATAATTAATTTAATTAATGTTCTGTTGGTCTGCATAGTTTATAGTGCAACACTGACAACTGACTTCCATTGACTTCTATTGCTTTTCTATTGAGCTCTTGGTGTGTTTTTTTTTTCAAACCTTTCTGCATTTAACATTTTAATCCAGACATTATTTAGTATGTTTATTAAGCTATTTTCTTCCCACTATGTAGAAGATTTCAGGTTTTACAATCCTTGTGGACCCACAATCTCACAAATATTCAGTCTTTCTTTGCTCCACACACAAACTCTTTCTCTCTTTTAAACCCAATTACCCTAATGCCATCTGTAATCAGCCGTGGTTCGACAGGGGTATATCATGTGTGACATTGTGTAGACTGAAACTGGTTGTGTGTCTCCATGACCTAGAAAACCCTGCACAGATCACAGATACATTCTGTATATCAGCGACCACTGAGAGTGAATGTGAGAGAAGATAGAGAGAGAGAGAGAGAGAGAGAGAGAGAGTGTGTATGTGTATGTTTATGTGTGAAATGTTTTTAGAAAGTTTGTGTGTCTCCATGACCTAGAAAACCCTGCACAGATCACAGCGTTTGTGAATTCTTTGCTTACCACTGAGAGTGAATGTGAGAGAAGATAGAGAGAGAGAGAGAGAGAGAGAGAGAGAGTGTGTATGTGTATGTTTATGTGTGAAATGTTTTTAGAAAGTTTTAGGAGTAATACATATCTTAATGAATCCGTGTGAATGCGTGTGTTGTGTTTATGTGGATCTCTTAATTACCCAATTAGCCTTTCATTCACGCAGACTCCCAAAGGGTAGAGCATAAGTGTGTGTTTGTGTAAGGGAACGGCTGGTGGTTGATTATTATCCAGCTCATTTTGGCTTGATTTCCCTAATGAGATGATAAATGACAGCTCTTAAGTAGCGCACACACACATACTGAGATTTTGCGCCACTGGATAAAATTGAAATCATATATCCAGTAATATGTCCAGCAGTTCTATAAAATGTATTTTCCAGCTGGTCTGTTTTGATTGGTCACTTTGTAGTTGATTGGCCTTTGGGTGTGATTATAACTAACAGCATCAATCAATTAAGCATAAGCTCTGGCAAGTGTGTGTATCTGTGTGCATTTGAGTGCTATAATTATGATGTATACTCATATTCAGCCCAGGTCATAGGTCATGGTTAGTAGGTCTGACTGACGGAGAGTTGAGAAATTCCAGAACACAGCAGTGTGTGTTCGCCCAGTTTATTTTAGCTGTCTGTGTGTTTATGCATGAGCTCTGGGCCTTGTGTTCACAGACTTATAGTCACACCTGTGAACATTTCTACCACACACATATGAACATGCCAACTGGTGGATTGAGCAGTAATAGCCGATAACTCAATTTGCACAGGAAGTGTGTACTGTTTGTTCTTGTCTGCCAGTAGCACTATGGGAAAAAGCTGTGGCCAACACACCCTAACATACTTCCATCCACACTTATTGTATAAGAGGTGTGTGCTTGTGAACAGATTTTTGAATAAAATTTCACAATCCACTTACGATTCACAAGCTCTCGATTTGATGCCCATTTCGATTTAGTTTGAATCAGTTCCATTTGATTCCATATTTCAGTATATTCAGTTATAATGTCCATTTATATTTATTTCAGTTTTGTTTTTAGTAATTTTTGTATACTTCAACTTATTTATTTTAGTTATATGCAAAGGTAACATATCTAATTTTCTTTATTTTAGTTTGTATCTAATATTTCTATTTTATTTTTATTTCAGCTTTATTTAAATGAACGAAAATGATTTTGAATAGTTTTAGTTAACATAACTCTGCAAGACAGTGTTTCAGACTGATTCAAATGAGATCCTCGTAATTATTCATTAAAAGAAAATTCATTAAAAGTTTTTTTTTTGGTAGCTCACATTCACAGATCAGGTAAAATTGTATTTATGACACCTACAGGACAGGAAGCGCTGTACACTATCACGCAGACACTGAAATAGTAATTAATCGTAAAAACTATATATATTATATATATTTTGCGTTGTTGCTATAGGGCGCGCTTGCCCTCGTGTAGATGTATATGTATAATGTTTCTTAGCTGTATCACACGCCATATTTGCACTAATCGTGTAATCCCACATCAGTCTCTCTCATGACTGTGGTAATCTAATGTTCAGATATACACTCACAGCTTGTGTGTGGTTAAATGTACAGCACTAGGCCTGTATGTGGCTAAATATACCCTGGTCATAGATTGATGGATAGAAGGGTCTGTCCCACTTTGTGTTCATAATCATATGTGTGTGTGTGTGTGTGTGTGTAAGAGAGTTGTAGTTGTACTAATTGTGTAAGACCATCAGAATGTCTCACTGTTTGTCTAATTTAGTTTATGGCTAAAAAGGTCATGAGTCAGACTGATTACAGTCTGAGGCTACCAGATTCTAGACCACCTAGTCATGAAAACTCCCTCACTTCCTGTTAAACACACTCGAGACAGGTGGAATACCAGCCTGTAATCCATCTGAGTGATTTTAGCACACACACACACACACCCTTGTTGCCACAGCAACTGCCCCCAAGAAAGGGGGCAATGGTGCCACTAAGTAAGGGCCAGGAATGCATGTGTGAGGTTTCAGGCTATGACAGATTGTGTGCATGTCCCTCGTGACAGCTGAAATTTTTTAGTGTGTGTGGGTGAGTGAGAGAATATTTTAAAGGAGTGATAAACATGCAAATCTATAGAACAACTAACGTGATATGTGTGCATTGGATTTTTGGTGTATTATAATATTATCTGCTGCACTCTCACTGTATTTAATTCATTTCCTATTATTCTCATGGCATGTTTTCAATCTTTTTGTCTGTTCCATTCATCTCACACATTATTTTATCTCTGTCTGTCTCGACTGTTCATATTTTTGAACAGGTTATTCTGCCCAAAGGTGAGTCTGTCTGGTCCACATATGAGTTTATATGAGTTCATTGTGTTAAGGAAAAGTACAGAATACAATGTTACTCTGGTGGACAGCTTTAAATGTATTTAAAGAAATAGTTCATCCACAAAAATAAACATTCTATCATCATTTACTCACCCTCATGTTATTCCAAACCAGTGGCTTGGCTTTCTGTCTTCCATGGAGTACAAAGGAGATGGTTTGAACAATACAAGTTGCTTCTGGAGCTTTGTGAAATACTACATCTGAATGATGCACTATATTCCAAGTCATATGATTGCTTTGTGTAAGAAAGAGATGTTAATTCTCTGATACTCCTCTCCTCCAGTGGGCTTTTAACTAATGGAACTGGATCATTGTGCCATTGAGTTTTCAGTTATTTCCGCTGAATAACAATTTAAAATTCAGTCTGTTCCACAAACAAAGCTATCATATGACTTCAGAAGACTTGGGACATAGATCACAAGTTGTAGACTATTTTATGATATGGTAATTTTTGTAATTTTAGAGTTTAACAGTCTCATATTCTTCAGAAATTCACCCTCTGTTGAATGGAAGAAAGAAACCCTCTTTCACAATTTTTTTCCCTTTCCCATAAAAACAATAAAGCTGAATTGCATTTTCTTTATTGGCCTGTCAGAAATAAAGGATTTGTGATTGAAAGCGGCAATGCTGCATATATGCAGAACTCAGCCGTGAGGGTCTTTACTCATAACAGAAATCTATGAAATAATCTGTTCACATTCTTTCTATCTCTCCCTCTCTTTCTTAGAGCTGATGCGGAGCGGCAGGCTCATATCTCTCTCTGTGCCTGCTGGGGATCTGAACTCTCTGCTGCCGGATGAAGATGGTCGTCGTCTTTACATCGGTATGAAAGACCATCTGCTGTCCACCAGCCTGGATGATATTACACAAACCCCCTGCAAGGTATGTACGCGCCCAAACATGCATGCGGACATATATATTTAACATATTCTTAAATAAGGGACAGTTCACACAAAAAGTACAATTTTGTCATTATATACTGTCTTTTTTATGTGTAACACAAAAGGAGAAGTTTAACAAAATGTTCATGCTGCTCTTCTCCATACAATGAAAGTGAATGGTGACCATGGGCTGTCAAGCTCAGAAAATGTCAAAAATCACCATAAAACCATCATAAACAACTTGTTTTCCACACAAAACTATCATATGGCTTTAAAAGACTTGGAATATATCATATAAATCAAATGAACTGATGTCATAGTACTTTTATGGTATTTTTGGAGCTAGTCAGTCCCTGGTCACCATTCACTTTCATTGTACAGAAGAAAGCAACTTGAGGGTAGTAAATAACAAGAATTTTAAAGAGATAGTTTAGTTCACCCAAACACGCTGTAGTATCAAGCAAGAAAGCTTTTACTAGCAGATTCTTATCTTATGAAATCTGTCCCAGGCTAAAAAACATGTTCCATTCTCATTGAAATTGAAAAACACAGTTTATGTATGATTGGTTTTCAAACAAACATTTGTTGCATGAATTAGGCCCTGTGAGTGTATTTGTGGCTGTTTGTGTGAGTAAGTGTGTGTGTGTGTGTGTGTGTGTGTGAGCCCATCCCTGCTTGTCTACATAACTTAGTGTGTATTCATAATGATTTCATCTGAGTAATGCCAGGGTGGCATCCAACTGTAATTCCTCACATGCTACATGATGAAATCAGCATATGCATCAACATTTAATATGACTAAGAGGAGCTTTTATGCAGACTTGTGCACCAGAAGAGATTCACATCTGTGTGTGTGCTGTATTTCAGATATACTGGCCTGCAAGTCCAGATCAGATCCAGAACTGTATCATGGCTGGAAAAAACCTGCAGGTAAAACACAATTTTATGAAATGCAGCATGTTTAGACAGCTTTTCTTGAAGTGTTTAATCACAAACAAAATCAATTAAATCCTCATTGTGATAGTTTCCTTTTCATGTCACAGATGGACTGTGCAAACTTCTTGCGTGTGTTAGAGCTGTATAACCAAACACATCTTTACGCCTGTGGGACTGGAGCATTCAACCCTCGCTGTGCCTTCATCCCCACCAACCGCTTCCTCAAGGTAAAGGACTACATTTCCCAGCATGCACCTCTCTCACATAAACTCTTCCTGTTGTGTTTGTGTACTTATACGGTGCGTTCCAAACGGGATATATCACTGAAGCAACGATGAAGGGCACTTCGGAGTGAAAACAATCATGGCCTCCATATTGAAGGGTCATTCCAAACCGAAGTGCTCAAAACTGGCCACTTCAAAGGGCTCTTCGGAATTAAGGATTTCGAAGGGTACAACTGATGGACACTTCGGGCTCCCATGATCCTTTGCGCAGATTCTTTGCATGATGACGGCGCCTACATGTGGGCATGTGATGATGACACAGAAGGGCCCTTCAAGGAACAGTTGTTTGGTCCCCTACACCCTTCAACCCTTCGAAGCTCTCACTCCGGAGGGTAAACCCTTTGAAGGGATTAGGGCGTAGGGATGAGCCCTTCCGAATGGAACGCAGGGATAATGTAATATGCTGTGCATCAATCATGTACAATGTGTGTCTCAGGTGATAGAATAGGAAATGTCAGATTATACAATTTTATGAGGATTATATTACTAATAAATAAATTGCTAATAAATTTAAATAAAATGTTAATTTATTAAAATAAAAAAAATTAAAATAAAAAAATTGTTACATATCCACACCGGAAAAAAATATATATTTAATTAAAATTTAAAAATTAGATTTTTAATAAAAGTTAAAAAAAAGTTTCATACAGAATAAAAATACATCCTTAAAGGATTATTGTGTATAGGCAAAAATTAATAATTTGAACTGTAAATAATGTAATGGGAATTTCAGGCTGAGGAACAAATGCTGCAGTATGAAGACACTGAATCAGGGAAGGGAAAATGTCCTTACGACCCTCACCAGAGAACAGCTACCGCCATCATAGGTAAGACAGCATGTTTATAGTTTGTGTGTAATTTATCTGTTTGTGTGAGAACATGCCAGTGTAACTCTAATTCTGATCTAAATCTCTGTGCATGTTTGTTCAGATGGAGAGCTGTACGCTGGCATCTCATCTGACTTTCTAAGTCATGATACCGCTTTTATTCGGAGTCTGGGGGAGCGACATGTGATTCGCACTGAACAATACGACTCCACATGGCTGCAAGGTGGTACATGTGCATGTACAACCACACATACTCCTGAGCTAGCTCTAACACTTACACTCACACTTACAAAAATACACACGCCAGGTTGTTGACAGCAATTAAGGATGCACTGTGCTCTATCAGTTAAACACAAGAAAATGCAACCATATTGTTTACACAATAACAGATGTATGTGTTAGTTAACCGTATTTTTGTCTCTCGCGCTCTCTCCAGGCACTGAATTTGTACATGTTGCAGAGATGTCAGAGAGTGATAATGAGGAGGATGATAAGGTCTATGTGTTCTTCACTGAGCGCTCCCAGGAGGCTGAGGGGGCTGCTGGGAAGGTCCTCTATTCTAGAGTCGCCCGCGTCTGCAAGGTATTTAATAGTGTGTTCCTACGTGCTTAACTGCACTTGTGTGGCTCCTGTGCCTGTATGCCCACCTCTGTGAGTCTGATAGGATGTGCTGGGTGATATGCCTCTGACTGTGGATTTCTGTAATTTTCATATAAAATAATAATATAATTATTATTTACTTGTTAGATCGAGATCTAAACAGAAATAAAATAAATATTATTTTAATAAAATATACTTAATTTTTATTACAATAAAAAATTATGTACAAATCTAAATAGAAATAAAAAATAGATACTATTTTGGAGATCCAAACATAAATAAAATATTTTTTTAATTGAAATTTCTGTCTGGTTGGATTTCTGTCCTTTTGATATTGCTAAATTATTATTAATAAACTTTAAAAAAAGTATTCCTTGTCACTGTCGCCTTTTGGCTTGCTTAGCTGGGGACACTTAATATTTGGCAATATTGTCGACTTGATTGCACAGATAATATTGAAAGAAAACTGAACTGAGCTGGACGATTACATCACTGAATCAACGATGAACAGCAGAATTGAATTTTGTTTGTTTTACTGAAACACTATTTTCTTGTTTAACACTGTAAAGCTGCTTTGGCACAATCTGTTTTGTATGAAGCGCTATATAAATAAAGGTGACTTGACTTGACTTGACTTGACTTGACGGTATCAGATGGTAATGCCTTGGTAATTTTATGTATGTCATAGAAAATAATGATTATCATATCCATGTACCAGGGCATTTACATCTACATCAAAGAACATGTCTAAAAATCATGCTATTAGCATGGTATATATCCCCCCCAAAAAAGTGATATTAGTATGGTACAGTACATGTTGAAAAATATGGTATTAACAGAGTACATGTGCAAAAATCCATGGTGTGTGTGTGTGTGTGTATATATATATATATATATTATATTTTTTAGAATATAATTTATACTGTTGATTCTGTGTGTGTGTGTGTGTGTGTGTCATATGCCCAAACTTCCCTGATTTATGGAACAAAGTTTATCAGTAGACTCACATACACACACACACACACACACACACACCACACACAGACTCAGACAGAAACCAGTTTCTTATCAATCAGTCTGTGTAAACAAAGTCCTCGCATAGAATAAACAATTCTTAAATCCTCATTCTGACCGAAGTTTTACTGTAGTTGTAGTCTCATACTCATATATTATATCTGTAAGATATACACATTACAGAGCATACATATTGAAATGTTCATCTCAGTTATCAGTGACGACTTCACTGAAGATAGCATGTCCCCTAAACGATTCCACCCAAATACGATATAAAACACAGCCAGCAATAATCTGAAATCAAGAATGGCTTCCATATCTTACTGCAACTTTATCAAATCTGCAAGCGGCTCTGAACAGAACTATTCATTGTCCAGCGGCATGGCAATGGCATGGCAATCTTTAAACAGCTGAGTTTACATAACTTGTTTAACTCAGTGCATGTCCAGTTATTTTCAAGTGTTAGAGACTTGTGAAATGTGTTTATTTCTTGGCCTACCAAAGTATTTAGAACATGCAAAATAGCTTTGTTTTGATTTCTTAATACTTTCATGTTTACTTGTGCCGTAGAAATGTTCTGATGATTCTATAATGTAAACATGCTCTAATGCTAATATGCATCTCATCTTAGCTGTACTTTTGCCCTATGGTGGTAATTGTCTTTGTCTTGTTTACATTGTGCTCCATGGCCCCTAAACCACTACATCTCCCATAATCTCCACCTGCATCAGGGACCCTCATGTTGCCATAGTTATGATGGGCCAGACCACACTGCAGTCAGTGAATATTAGTCAGGAATAGCGAGTTTATAGATTGTATAAAGAAACATGCGTAAACTGATGATACGAGTTGAGAACTGCCAGGTTGCTGGAAGAGTAGAATTAGAATGATGTGAATTCTGTTCTTGTGAAATATGGAACAGATGAAGCTTACGTCTTTAAAGAAAAAATTGACTGGCGTGTGTTTTGGTATGCAAGATTGAAAGTACTCCAGAATGCGTCATGGTCTGGTGTAAATAAGTTTAGATAATGTCTGTGTTTGTGTGTGTGGAGGTGATGCTGCCAGTTTCTGTGGCTCTGATTTTGAAGCTGAGCTGAATTCGTGTTGTGTCTGGTCTGATATTTACATACATCTCTATGACTCTAAAAAGTTTAATGTTTAACACCTATTGAGTACTTTAGGAAATAATTTCTTATGGTTATATACATTTTATTGCCCGCCTAGAAGTTTTGTCACAAATTGAACTAATTTTCTTGAGTTCACCCTGAATGTTTTACATTTGAACCTCATGATGATAAATGTATCTTAAAATGAGTGTGCCAGTGCATATGCCATTTGTCTTGGTGGTCTGCTGAATGTTTTGAAGGCCACCAGTATCTGTGTGTGTGTATATTTTCACATCTACGGTGGCACCCCCATCCTGTTTCCACATAATCTACTGGCTAACTCGGGATGAGGATAAGGGAGGAGAGCAGAGAGCAGGAGAGTCGGAGGTTAGGAGGGATAAGGACGGATAGGGGCAGGATAGAGAAGTGTCAACAAGTGCAGGGCAGACAAAACTATCTGTCCTCAAAGAGAACAAAAGCTTTTGTTGGATGAGGGGGGGGAGTAAAACAATCTGAAAGAGAGGGAGGAGGGGTGGGACAGAAATGAGGGATAGTAATGGGATCGAGAGGGAAAGAGGGAGTGTGGATGCTTAATTAAAGGGATTCTGTTGGTTTGTGTGTAGAATAGGAGGGGAAAACAGAGCGTCTGTGTTTATATGTGCGGTTGTAGTCCAGAGCGGTGTGTAATAAAGGTTTCAACCATTTTACAGCTCTGATCTAGTTTATGTTCTCAGTTTTTAATAGTTTGTGAGAGTCAGTAAATCTATCTCATGTTTCAAAGGCGTGTCTGCGGTAGCATGAATGTTTAACACTGTGGTTTCCAACTGGCGGGATGTGCCCCATATCTTTTATTGTCGCCAAGGGCTGTGAGTTTGATCAAACTCCACTGTATTTTTGATTGGGGTCGCTAAGATATTTTAATGTTTTTAAAGAAAGTCTCCTATGCTCACCAAAGCTGCATTTATTTGATCGAAAATACAGTACAAAATCTTTCAGAAATCATTCTAATATGCTGTTTTGGTGCCCAAGTAACATTCCTTACTTGTGCTGTTTCATATTTTTTCGAAACTGACACTTTTTCAGTATTCTTTTATAAATAGAAAGTTAAAAAGAACCGTGTTTATATGAAACAGAATTGTTTTGTAAAAATGTAAAATTCTTTACTGTCACTTTAGATCAATTTAATGTGTCCTTGCTAAATATATAAATTATGACCTAAACCTATGAAGTTAATGGTAATTTACATGTTACATTTTTGTTTACTTTTATAGTTTAAAAAATGTTGTATTGTTTTGGGCCGTCACTTATTGTCCAATGTAAAATTTGGGTCCTGAAGCAAAACCAGTTGAGAACCACCATCTTAACGTGTGTGTTTGAGTTGATAAGGCGTTTGATTATATCTGACATGGCTGGAATGCAGAAATGAACTAGACTACCTCCGATGGCACAAGTTCTTTGTGAAGATATAGGTGTGTGTGTGTGTGTGTGTTTAAACAGTAGTGAAACCACAAAAATGCTGTGTTACACACGTTTTTTTTTTAATGAGAAAGAGAGTGTGACCAGGAAAATATTCTTTTCATGATACAGCCTTGAGATGAAACCAGAGACCATACATACATCTTTTTCATTAGCATTGACTAAAGTGCATACAAAGCATGTTTAATATTCTAAACCTGTTTTCTGTTTTTCTGTAGAGGATATTTTTATTCAGCGTGGAAAGGAAAAAAAGAACCCCCTCATCTATGGGCTCTTCACCACTACCAGGTGAGTCTTACACACTGACCTGGTATCAATTTTTAAACATTTGACTGTAATAAATCACATTTGGAGACTTAAGTCATAGCTGAAATAAGAGCAGACATTAAAAAGGAAATTTCTATCATCATTTACTCAGCTTCAAGTCATTCCAAACTCATATGACTTTCTTTGCAAAAAACACAAGAAGGTATGTTTAGTAGAATGTTGTTGCTGCTCTTCTTCATAAAAAACAAAAAACAAAACAAACAAACAAAAAACTAAATGGTGGCTACTGGCTAGGGATTGTCAAGCTCCAAAAGTGACGAAAATCACCATCAAATTTGTCTATATATCTTATGTGCTATATTCCAGGTCTTCTAAAGCTATTTACAAAAGATCTGAGAAAAAGACAAGAAATTCAAGCTGTTATATGTTCAAAACAGCTTTTTGAAAGAAATTAATTGTATTGATGTTATTCAGCAAGGATAAAAAATGACAGCTAATCAGCATATTAGAATGATTTCTAGTAATGGTAAAGAGTAATAAATTCAGCTTTGATATATAGTAATAAATTGTGTATGTGTGTGTGTGTTTATTTTTAATTGTAAATTGTAAAAAAAATTACAATATGGCTGTTTTATTTTATTTTTTATTAAATAAATGCAGGCTTGGTGACTTTTAAATGGTAGTCTATATTCAAATATGAATCTTCAAAGCTTTTTGTTGTCATGATGCTGATTTAATTGGGTCACATGTTACTTGTAACAAATCATGAGTCACTAAATTTGAATATGCAAATTGTAAATATATATGATTTTCAGTAAATAACACAACAACTCACATTTCACACAACAACTTACATTTCTGCACACAGAGCTATTGTAGGCTTCAGAAGTCAAGTTTACTACTGTAATGGTAGTGTTTTTTGATGCTGTTTTGTCGTTTTTGAAGCTTGATGGCCCCTGGTCACTCTTCACTTTAATTGTATTGAAAAGAGCAATGTGCACATCATGACAACCCTGTGTGTGCGTATGTGGTTAAGGGTGTGGATAAAATTGCAGTATTACTGAGTCATACTTTCCAGCTGGTCTAAGATGACATTAATAATGCACCCATGATGTTTAAAACACATTAGAAGTTGAACCAATTTTACATCAGCCATCTCAAATAGCATATGCCTTCCTCTTTGTTTGTGAAAATGTGTATGTGTCTGCCTAAGGCTTTGGGGAATGTTGCATAGGGTGGAGTGCACAATGAAGAATGGATTTAGAAAAAGCTGTATGGAAAGAGTGACAGTGTTATTGCTCTCTGCTAAGCTGTTCCACTGAGTCTCTCGACTCGTAAAGACTGTAGCTTTCAAGGCAGACCCAAATTCAATTCAATTCAGATCAGATGACATTTTAACCCTTGCTGAGGAGTCCGTGGCTTGCTGCCGACTAGCTTCACACTTGAACTGAAGTGCCACTTTCATTGTGCCACCAGAGCTTGGTTTAATTTGGAATTAAGTCTGGCCAAAAACATGTAGGGGAACTGAATAAGATTAATTCTGTTGATGTGATACATTGTGATTGAATGCTATTCATTGCTAGTTGATGCTGTCTGCTTATATCTCTCAATCAATTAATAATTCATGTTTCTATTTTTATGTGTGTTTGTTTCCTCTCTCAACAGCAATGTCTTGAATGGATCCGCTGTGTGCGTTTACAGAATGCAAGACATTATTAGAGCTTTTAAAGGAAATTTCCTTCATAGGGAGGGTCAACAGTACAAGTGGATGGAGTATACAGGCAAAGTTCCCTATCCCAGACCCGGCACAGTGAGTGTTCAAATACAATTAGGCATTACAGCATTATAATGTACAGTATAAAAACGTTATTCTAAAATCATGTACAGTAAATTATTATTTTTGGACCATAATACTGAACTTCCTGTCAAACTTCAGTGTCCCAGCAGCACATATGGAGGGTTCAAATCAACAAGGGAATATCCTGATGATGTCATCTTCTTTAGCCGCAAACATCCTTTAATGCAGGAAGTGGTAAATCCATTTGGGGGTCATCCTTTGCTCATCAGAGTGGGCGTGCCTTATAAACTGACCCGCCTCCTTGTGGACAGAGTGGAGGCGGTGGATGGACAATATGACGTGCTGTTCATTGGCACAGGTGTGTGTTTGTGGTGAATACTGAAGTAAACTGTAGGTTTGTTGAATTTTTGATGGAAATTATGTGACGTCCATTTAGTTTAAATACTGTGTGTATTTTATGTGTGTATTCAGATTCTGGCCTGGTTCTGAAAGTGATTCACCTCCCTAAAGCCAACGGACAGAATCAGGAGATCACTCTGGAACGGCTGCAGGTTTTTAAGGTAAAACTTCTGCAGCTTAACATTCCAGATTCATTGGGATGACCTTTTGAACTTGAAACATTAACTGCTAATCTTCTGTCACTCAACAGAACAAGTCACCAATCACTGCCATGACGCTGTCCAAGAAAAAGGTACCATGTTTATCAGTGGAAGCACACATACATACATACAAACATACATGAATATACATGTAAGATACACCGACACACTTTTATAAACCTTCCCATCTTGTCGCCATGGCAACGCGAGAGGGTGGAATATATTTTAAATGAAACTGTGATTTTTTTTTTTTTTACACATTTTTTCCATGAAACACTCACTGAAACCTGAAGAACTGAGATGGAAAGAGCTCTGTAACACTGGAGCTGTGATGTGTGGAATGTGATTTAGATCTTTGTGTTTCTGGCCCAGCTTTCCTGCTTACTGGGAAAAAAAAGCAATAAACAGGATCACAGCCCATATCAGTGTGTGTGTGTGTGTGTGTTTTGTCTCCAGCAGTGGCTGTTTGCTGGATCAGCAGAGGGTGTGGTTCAATTGGGTCTGTTCCACTGCGATTTGTACGGCCAAGCCTGCGCTGAATGCTGTCTTGCTAGAGACCCATACTGCACCTGGGATGGCCACTCTTGCAGCCCTTACATGCCAACTGCACGCAGGTGACACACATCTCACACTTGTATGGGCAGCTTGTTTGATAGAATCCATTTCATCAACAGTTTCCAGTACACTGAAACCGAACCGCGTTGGTATTTGGTATATCTGAAATAAATCTGATTTGAAACATTCCTCCCTATTTGCAGAAGAAACATTCGTCATGTTAATGATGACGGCAACCCGCTGAACCAGTGTGTCAGACAGGGAGGTAAGACACACAGACAACCAGACATTTACAATTGCTAAACATCCTGCTTTGGAACAGCACTGTTATTTTTGTGTTTATTTATATGTGTTTTTACGATATCATTCATTGCTCATTAAATCTGGGTGGAAACTTATTAAAGGTTGAATAAACTTTTACCATTTGTGCCTTTAGAAAAACACTTACAATTAAAGTAATTAAATCTTAAAAGCGCCGTGCCCATGGTGTGAAATTCCATGTTTATGTGCACAATGAATTAAATAAAAAATGTGAATAATGATAATAATAATTAGAAATAATAATAATAAATAATAATAATAAATAAATATTTTAGTAATAATATTATAATTAACAAAAATAATAAAATATTACTATTATGTGTGAAATGTTATGTGTGCACATAGACCAACAATCAAAAAAATGCAATAATAATAATATGTGAGAAATGCCAACAATTAATTAAAACTGTAGTAATAATAATAATAATAATAAAATATTACTATTATGTGTGAAATGTTATGTGTGCACATAGACCAACAATCAAAAAAATGCAATAATAATAATATGTGAGAAATGCCAACAATTAATTAAAACTGTAGTAATAATAATAATAATAATAAAATATTACTATTATGTGTGAAATGTTATGTGTGCACATAGACCAACAATCAAAAAATGCAATAATAATAATAATAATAATATGTGAGAAATGCCAACAATTAATTAAAACTGTAATAATAATAATAATAATAATAATAAAATATTACTATTATGTGAGAAATGCCATGTTCATGTGCACATAGGCCAGCAATTAATTTGAACTGTAGTAATGATAATAATAGTAACGATAGTAGTAGTAGTAGTAATGATAATATTTGTTATTATTATTTGTTATAGTTGTTAACATTACTATAAAATTATTAATTTAAAATTTAATTGAAATTCTTTCATTTAAATTCTTTATTCATTTAATTTTTCTTATTCTATTCATTGTTATTCAGCTGGTCTTCAGGTGGAGGCAGAGGAGAAGACATTAGTTGTTGCCATGGGTAACAGCACCTACCTGGAGTGCCTACCCAAATCTCACCATGCCACAGTCACCTGGTTTAAAGACATAGGCGAGAACAGCCTGGAGCAACATAAGGTACATGCACACTCATGCCTGCACACTCAAAACATTATCAAATATTGAGATGTCTCTAAATTTGAACCTTCTGTCTTTCAGGTCACATCTGGGGAGCAGCTGGTTGTCATTGACAGGGGCATCCTCATTCCCCGGGCTGAGCTCAATCACGGCGGCGTTTATCACTGTCAGCTAGAAGAACATGGATTCCGCTGGACAGCCGTTACTATTCGTTTAATTGTGTGGAGCCCCACATTTGTCTCCGCCCAGCCATGGTACCAGGATGTGATGGCATTGATCAACCACGGCAAACTGGAGCGACACTGCAAAGAACTCAGTCAGCATCACAACAACGAGGAATCAGGGAATCACAAGCATAACAAACAGGACAGAAAGAGAGCAGACCGGCACAGGCACAGAGGAGGGGGAGAGAAGGAGAAAGGAAGGGGGCGGAAGAACCGGAGCAGAATGCAGAGTTCAGCACAGAGGCTGCCAAGGAGCACATAGAACAAATCGCAGGTGTTTACAAAGCTGCTCAAAACAAAAGAATACAACAAAACATGCAATATACAGTATATTCACAGTACATTCAAGTATGCATGGCATCATGTTAACAGACATTTGGTTTGTTTCAAATCCTAATGAGCTGCCTGTATGCGGCAGCATTGTCAAGCAACAAGCTCAAAAATACATGCAAGATGAGGGGATGAGAAGAGAAAAATTTTGATCAACTTATATTTCTTTCAATTCATTCAAATAATTATATCAATATAGATTGTTCAAAAGTTTGGGCTCAGCAAGATTTTTTTTAATACATTTGTGACCCTGGACCACAAAACCAGTCTTAAGTCGCTGGGGTATATTTGTTGCAATAGCCAAAAATACATTGTATGGGTCAAAATGATTGATTTTTCTTTTATGCCAAAAATCATTAGGATATTAAGTAAAGATCATGTTCCATGAAGATATTTTGTAAATTTCCTAACGTAAATATATCAAAACTTAATTTTTGATTAGTAAAATGCGTTGCTAAGGACTTCATTTGGATAACTTTAAAGGCGATTTTCTCAGTATTTTGATTTTTTTTTTGCACCCTCAGATTCCAGATATTCAAATAGTTGTATCTCGGCCAAATATTGTCCTATCCTAACAAACCATACATCTATGGAAAGCTTATTTATTCAGATTTCAGATGATGTATAAATCTCACTTAAGACTGGTTTTGTGGTCCAGGGTCACATTTATTGTGCATAAAATTGCATTAAATTGATCAAAAGTGACAGGAAAGATATTGTTATGAAAGATTTATATTTCAAACGAATGCTGTTCTTTTGAACTCTGTTCATCAAAAAAAATTGTATCACTGTTCCCACAAAAGTATTATTCAGCACAACTGTTTTCAACATTGATAGTAATAAGAAATGTTTCTTGAGCACCAAATCAGCATATTAGAATGATTTCTGAAGGATCATGTGAAAATGAAGACTGGAGTAATGGCTGCTGAAAATTCAGCTTTACCATCCTAGGATTAAAATACATTTTAAAAATATAGTAAAAGAGAAAACAGTTATTTTAGTTGTTTTACTGTATTTTTGATCAAATTGATGGTGAGCATGAGACTTTTTTTCGAAACATGAAAAAAATCTTACTGACCCCAAACTTTTGAACAGAAGTGTAATTAAAAACATATTATCTTACCAAATATTTCATGTGTGCTTTGACATGCTAATTGGAAACTTGATTGCATGTCAAGAATATTTGTGTGTTGTCCAGAATTGTAGAGTGTTTCTAATTTCTTAATGAGTTCATTGACAAGTAGAATGCTGCCTATGTAGGCAATGAGGCAGCTCACTAGGTTTTGGAACAAAGCTAGTATCTGAATCATGTGAAGGACTGTTGCTAAGCAAATTAAGAATGATCTGAAATAGGTGTGGTCAAGAAGAAGTGTTTACTTTAATATTAAAAACGAATTGATTATTTGAAGACTGTGTTAAGCATATTTGACAAATATTTTAATGCAAGGGAGTGTCCCCAAATTATCCTCTTATGAACAAAAGACAAATCTTCTAAAGTTAGGGAGCATCTTAAAATGTTCTTTGTTTAAAAAGACTGTATTGAAATGTATTTCCTTATTTGTCTTTCATGGTATTTATTTTCCTTGTGTTTTTGTGCTTTGTGTTTATATTGTCTTGCATTTTAAGTGTAAAAATTGTACATGGTCTTTTTTTTTTTATATATTTGAATAGGGTGTAATTCTGTCTCTGATGTCACTCATTAGTTTCGAGAGATTTATTTAAATTAATCAACCAAAGCAAAAGTCCCAAAATATAACAGATCCCGTAGGATGATGAACACTGTGTTTCTCTGGGGAACGATGGAGGCGCAAAGGGTGTGTTATTTTACTGGACTGAAACGGCAGCTATTTTCTCCTGCGCACGGACAGATGCACGACTGCCAAGAAGTTTGGCACCCGCCCTGAAGTGCCTCCATTCAGAAGGATGGAAAAATAAAAAAATAAAATAATGGCAAAAGGGATTTAAAGGCTTTAAAGTACTGTACAAAAACAGAGAGAAGAGGAGCAAATTAAAATGCGGTCAGACCCACATGACAGAGACAGAACCAGAGATCTGTGTATATGTTGGAGCAGCTCGGTTCGCCAGGAGACTCAAACAAAACTCAAATGTTGTTAACTAAATGTTGTATAAAATACATAAAAAAGAATAGATGTTTCATGTTCATGTTTTACATATGGTAAATCCTGCCCTCAATAATTTAAACCTTGTGAATTGTGTGACTATGTCTTACCTTAAACTGTAAATCTGGATTTCATTAATGGACTTTGAACCTTGAATAAAGTGTTTTGGAAGACTGTCATGAAATTGAGAGGAAAAAGAACAGAATTCAACATTGCACTACTTAATGTATTCCATTTTGTAATATTAATAACATCCACATATACTGCTTTATACAGTACCAGAAAAAATGACTGCATTAGTATTATACAACATCCCAACATCTAACATGTCTTGAACTTTAATCCGAGCCAAGAAACAATCCTGTTTTAAGCAGAAAATGATCACTGATATATCATAATATCATAACAGTTTTTTTTGTTTTTGGTCTGTATAATATAAACAGAAACACTCTCACATGCACAAACATGTGCTGGAATTTTCTCTTGGTACCTCTTGCTGTGTGACAAGCATTTGAATTCCATGAGCACATCATATTGCATCCTATATGAATGACAGGACACTGGGAAATTGACTAGGTGGGTTGCCTTGGATACGGCTGCCCCTTAAAACACTCCCAGAAGTGAATACCAAATATTGGAGAGCCTATATGTGAGTAAATGAGATCGGTGATGCAAATAACAAAGTGAAGGGGAGATACTGGAGGAGAAACACAAGGAAAGTGAGAGAAATATATTATTTTCTATTAAGGAAAATGTCTGCCTTGCTGTTGTTGAAAACTGACAAGAAATAAACACTTTATTGAATTTACTGTCTTAATAGACTTTCCTAATCTTATTTAGCACAATCACTTAGCACACATTATACCAAAATGTAAAAATAAAATAAAAAGTAATCAAAATATAATCACTTCCTCCACCTCTGAAAACAAATTTCCTTTTCAGCTGATGTCACCTATAGGCCACACTGGGTAAAATGTAAATGTTAACCTATAGCAAATTGCTATTTAGGCATGTTTTAGGCTACTGCTTTAGCCTTTCTAAAAAGCCAATAGTGGTTACACTTTATTTTAAGGTGTCCTTGTTACAGTGTAATTATACATTTAAGTGCTGAGTAATATTAATTAACTACATGTACTTACCTTATGGTTAGGGTTAGGATTAAGGTTTAGCTTAGGGTTACTTGCAGGTTTTTTGGATAATAACAGGATCTTAGAGGTTTTAGTCTTGGTCAGGGTTTTGTGACAGGGTCAAAGCTGACCTAGGTTTTACTGATGTGGTTGACAATTCCTATTGATTAGCCTATAAAATGGCAGCAGGGTAAAAATACACACAGCCTACTGCACAGGACGTGGGAGAGAGCAACACCAGTAGCTGAATCAATCCGCGGCGTCTACCGCCCATTGTGGTGAAATGTGTGTACTACATGTCTGTCTGGACAGGCTGTCTAGACATCTCTCTTTGTGCAAATAAATGAATAATTAACCACAGGTTTATTATTTATTAATTCTATAACGCAGTCCTCTGATAAACTACATTAAAGTATCAGTATATAAAAACACAGAATGCGTTTACATGTAATTTTACACACGTCTTTTATGTCATGAGGTTTATCCCTGTATGTTATGTGGAACTATAACGTCAACGTTGTGTTTCAGTACGACAAATAAAGATGACAGAAGGAATATCATATGCTGATGCTATTAAAAGACAGATATTTACTGATGGTTCAAAAGATCCAGAAACTATGAAAACAGGAATAGCAGTAGTTATTCCGCATTATGAAATAGTTATTAAGAAAAGAACCCCGGATTTTTTATCTGTATTTACAGCAGAGTTGGTAGCTATTGTTATGGCTCTCCAGTGGGTAGAGGAAAATAGAATTAAAAAAGCAGTAATATGTTCAGATTCATTGGCTGCGTTAAAGAGCATCCAATCAGGCCAGTCTAACTGCAGACAAGATGTCATACTTGAAATACTGCAGTATATATATATAGAATGAAAAATCAGGGCATTTTTATTTCATTTATTTGGGTTCCAGCACATGTTGGAGTTGAAGGAAATGAGAAGGCAGATAAGCATGCTAAGAATTCTTTGAACTTGAATCAGATAGGAATTGACATAAAAATTAGTAAGGCAGAAGCAAAAATAATAATTAGGAAAGCTCTTATAAATGCATGGCAGAAACTTTGGGAGAAAGAGAAGACTGGACGACATCTATATAGAATTCAAAGGGAAGTAGGAATACGTAACAATGACATGGGATTAAGAAGACGAGAAGAATCAGTAATAATAAGAATTAAAATAGGACATACTGCATTGAATGGAAATTTAAATAGAATTAAGAAACATCCGAATGGATTATGCATGCATTGTGGGATTTGTGAAACTGTAGAGCATGTACTGTTGCATTGTAGAGCATATAACAACGAACGACAAATGCTAGAAGCTAAAGTAATAGAAGAAGGTGGAAGCATGATGCTAGAAGATATATTAAGTAAGCTAAAAAGGAATAAGAATATTAGATTTGCTTTGTTGAAATATCTTAAAGATACAGGAAATTATATAAGAATATAATGATGTTTATTTATTTATGACTATTAGTATTATTATTTAGTATGATATACATTCATATGTGATACATATACATGCATCGATGCTCCACACTCCAGTTCAGATGGTGGCGGTAATGCACTAATAAGCTAGTCTGCCAACCGCCAATAAACAGTAGAAGAAGAAGAAGAAGTACGACAAATATTTAGTGCGGACTCAGTTGGCAACCTTCATCCTGAGCGGAAGAGCTGCAGGTAAACATTTAACTTAACCAATTACATGCATCTGAAACATGACAAATCAGCCCAAACTCAAACAGTAATAGTCATAAGGCTGCGGGTTTTCGCTGATATCTCGCATAATAACTGCGAATTCATAGGTCTGCATTACAGCTAATGCTTATCTTAAAGCTAACGTCAGGTGACCACTGTCGCTTCCTTGATCCGTTTA